GGTTAGATTTAAAATAATTCAAAATGGCGGATCCAATATGGCCGAATGAATTTTCTAAAAAATATTGGATTGTAGTAAAACTTTATATAAAGTTTTTTTAAGATCGCTGATAACGAATTTGAAGTACAATTTACTAAACTTAAAGTGAAGGACCAAATTTTAAGAATAATAATTATGAAATAAACATTTCTTACTTCCGTAGTTAGCTGGTGAATATATTTTATATATTATTCACGACCCCAGAGAGCACCACGTGGAGGTTTACGATAAGATTAGCTCTCCTTTATTATATTTTTCAAATTATTTTTTTAATTTTTTAATTTTAATTTTTTGTTGAGTTTTAAAATAAATTTGGTCCTTCACTTTAAGTTTAGTAAATTGTACTTCAAATTCGTTATCAGCGATCTTAAAAAAACTTTATATAAAGTTTTACTACAATCCAATATTTTTTAGAAAATTCATTCGGCCATATTGGATCCGCCATTTTGAATTATTTTAAATCTAACCTCACAGATTCGTAAGTAGCAATCCCAAAAACCCCTTAATACCAAGAATTAAGAAATTATATTTAACTATACGAGATTCATAAGAGTTTGCACATTTTTATATCATTTATCGGAATTTTGAGCAACAAAAGGGGTAGTTTCAACCCTTAAACCTTCTTCTTTGCAGATATAAAAAAATACGTATCGATTATTTTTGTGAGTTCTAAAAGTATGCCAAGTTACATCAAAATCGGTCACTGACACTAAAAGATATAACTGCCTTGACCAGTATAAAACACTGAGTTTATTGCATTTTCTGGAAAAAAAAGATAAAATCCAAAGAAAAACAAATAAATAAAAACAATATATTTATATTTTTTGACCGTATATTTGACAAACTCAATTAATACTAGAAATTTAACTGCCTATTACGGTCGGAGCTGGATCTTCGTTGCTTTTGAATAATTCAATCTTGAATTACTAATATATACTATTATATATGTACTGCATATATACCATATTGTAGTCTTTTTCTAACTGCGCGCCGAATTGTTTTTCCGGACTAAATAAATGCAATTAAAACTACTCTAGTAATCGGGAATTAAATTGACAAGCAATTTAATAATTTGACGCTACCATCAAGCATCATATATTATAAAGATGTTAATATATAAAAACTGTTAATAAATTTATTGCGAAAAATATTACCTCGGCCGGGACTTGAACCCGGATCTCTTGTAAACCGTACGAGCGTCCTGAAAGATTAATGAGTCAATTCTAAGCAGAATCATAAAACTCGTAACGTATTCTCGTAAAACTTGCAAGAATTACTTATGACTAGTATTCTAATTTTATGCGTATATATCGTAAGACATAAATATCTACGATTTCTTGTAAATTTTATGGCTAATAAGAAGCTGTCTGTAAAATATATTAATTGTATGAAGGTATAAGCATTAAAAAAATTCTTACAAGCTTATAAGAATAAGTATATGTTACGAGTCTTACGATTCTGCTTAGAATTTAGACATAAACTACCGAGGCTACTTTTCGAGAATATTTTTCGCAATAAATTTATTAACAGTTTTTATATAATAACATCTTTATAATATATGATGCTTGATGGTAGCATCAAATTATTAAATTGCTTGTCAATTTAATTCGCGATTACTAGAGTAGTTTTAATTGCGTTTATTTAGTCCGGAAAAACAATTCGGCGCGCAGTTAGAAAAAGACTACAATATGGTATATATGCAAGTACATATATAGT